AGAGAGAGAGAGAGAGAGAGTAAGAGAAACTAGCGAGCGAAAGCACTGTGCTGCACAAAGCACTGAGTCGGATTCCATACGTGACGCGACGCGAGTGTGGTATCGAGGTTTCTGGGTCAACAAGGTTGTTTTTGGCTTTTCGGGTCAACCTGACCCGATTTTTAAATGGTCGGAATCTCAAACCCGAACTCGATCCTTATGGAAAACAGATTGACCCAAACCCAGAAATTTCTAGGTCTGGTCCAAGTCCATGGAGTTGACATAGATGGAGTAGTCAAGTCAAATTATTTCTTCAATAATAATAACTATCTTATATATTTTTTTTCTAATAGACAAGTAAATCAAGAAATTAAATGCACAGCCAAATCTACTTTGGGCTAAGTTCAAGGCAACTCGAGTGTTCATATGATATTAACGCACCCAATCCATCCATATTCACTCTTCAAAAGCTACACTAGCCCTAAATACCTCAAACTCTCTAAACCACATCTCCCGGACTTCTTTCGGGACTTTCTTCCAAGAAACATAAGGAGCGTCAAACCTGCTCCGTATGATGTCCCGTATTTTATGTGTCGGTTGTTTTGATGGGTAGAACCTACAAAAAAAAAGTTATGTGAAACAAATATAAAATATAAAATAAAAAAAAATTCGTTAGTTTAAATAAAAGAGACTGTACGTACGTGTCACCCTCAGGTGCTATCAATATTCTACCATCTGTCTCCTGCTCTGCTGCAGCTGCTGTCGAAGGTCCAGCTGTTGTCGAAGGTCCACCTGCTGTCGAAGGTCCAGGTGTAGCAGGCTGATGGGTTGGTGGAGGATAGTATGGTGGAGCATATGGTGGAAATTGATAAGTAGGAGGGGCACCAGCATACGGTAAGGGTGTGTAGTATGGGTAGAAAGGAGCACTCTTATCAGGATCTGGTGAAGGAAATCGGGGGTCTGGTGAGTAAAATTGCGGGCTACCACTTCCATGAGTGGGTAAAGGCTGTGTAGCAGGCTGACCCGAGGTGGTCCCCTCAGTATGGTCCAGCTGTACTCTTCTTAGTGCGCCTGTTAAATATATTTTTTATCAATCCTCTACTAGGCTCCTCACCTGAAGCCATCTGCACATACAAAAAAAAATATATTAGAAATATGAGTATAACATGCATCCATTCACACAACAATCTATCTT